CTTTATATTAGGTTGTCCAATAAATAATGCGTGTTTTGACACGATTAAATTTTCCAATCTCATGGAGATGATTGTCGATTGTTGATTTGGAAGAACCAAATAATTCGGCCAACTCAGGAGTAGTTTGAGTTGGATCAGACTCAATGGTGTTAAGCAAAGCTTCGTTATCAAAAACGACTGGCCTTCCAGCGCGTTCCTCGTCCTCTAACGACTCGTTTCCGTCCGCAAATCGTTTAAACCAGCGCTGGCACTGGCTGATTGAAATTGAATCCTCTCCAAATGCGGCACAGATAGTTCGATGGCAATCCGCTACAGTTTTACCTCGTTTGAAATCATACAGCATTGATGCGCGGACAACAAACTTTTTGTCTTTCATCTGCAAAACAACATATCTATTATAAAACAAAGGCAAATGAGTAAAATAATATATAAAAATAAACACAAGATGCTGATGATTAAAAAGAGCATATATTTGCTCGAAGCGATTTCGCAATAGTTTCGAAATAAGTAACACGCATTACTTATTGGACAACCTAATATTTAGGGTTTAAACTTTCTTTATATTTAGAGCATTCCTTTTTCTAAAATATATCATTAAAATACTATATTTTAAGGTCAAAATTGCAAATTTAAAAACAAAAATCCTGATTTACGTTATTTTACTATATAAAAAGCCGCTCATGTTTGAAACACTTTAACTCTATATCGGACGGAAATCTAAATCGAACACAACATATATATATACCGTAAATACTGTAATAGTACCCCGCCGCCCTCGTACAGTCGCGTAGTCGCAAAAGTTTTTAGTATTTCATTTTCAGAAAAAGTTTCGTTAAATAGTATTGTAGCAATATGTTATATGCGTCTATGATTCTCTGATTCGCTTCTATTCGCCCCATGAATGAATATAATTTAAGCTTTGTTTTTGAGTGAGTGGTGGTCTCCTTTTTTTCTATTCATCCCTTTTTCACACCCAAGTGTTGAATTAATTGTGATAGTGCTGGGTTGCTCCAGTTTGAGCGAAGAATTAATCGTGATAGCGCCAGGTTGCTCCAGTTTGAGCGAAGTTTTGCCCTAATAAGGGAAAGTTTTGATAAATTGTGCGCTTTCAAGACAACCACTCTTGAACCACACCGAGACACGGTCTCACAAGAAATTATATATGCCGTAGCCGTTTACGAAATTCAGCCGCTAACGAATCATTCGTTAGGCTAGCTGTTAACGAATCATTGGTAGCGGCTAGCTGTTAACGAATCATTCGTTAATAGCTGAATTTCGTAAACGACTACGACATATGAATGTTTCAAAAAATCAACATTTCACTTCTTCACAATAAAAAACAAAAGCCGTTCCTGATCTAGCAGCAGAACAACCCGTTTCACGGCTTCATAAAACCGTAAAAATGATTGCCAGAAACGAATTCCCTGCATTGAAAAACCCCAGCATGGAAATTTCAGTGTAAAATGCAAATTGATACCAATGTCGCAGTGCGCACTGCGACACGCGCAGTGTAAAATGCAGTGTAAAATGCAAATTGACACACGCGCACATGGCCCGGGTTCGACCCCCGCCAGTGACCACCTATTTTGATTTTTTGCAAAATTTTATTTAAAAGGCACAACTATATGAAATTTCATTAGCTACATGTTTCAGGGTTTTTTAAAATACTCAAAGGGGCGCGTAGTGTGCGCACAAACGGACGGAGATTATTTTTATGTATAGTAGAGAGTTTTCATAAGCAAAAATCCTAAAACTCTCGCAAATTTTTCAACTTTTCACGATTTTTTCGAGAATTTAGCTCAAATTCTCAGTTTTTATGTAATTTCTTTCAAACGAAGCTTATCTGTTGATAGCTTTGTTAAAACTTCTTTCCAAAGACTTTTCGGAAGCTCTAGAAGCTCTAGAAGCTCTAGAAGCTTTAGAAGCTCTAGAAGCTCTAGAAGCATTAGAAGCATTAGAAGCTTTAGAAGCTCTAGAAGTTAATTCTCATCTAAATATCATCTAAATATCATCTAAATATTCATTTGAACTGAAACAATCTATTTTATTTGAATAAAGAACTAATTAAGAGCCGTTTCTAATCTATTTTTCATAAAAAATCCTCAAAATCCTCAAAATTCCCCAAAAACTATTGCAATGTTTCAAATTTATTAATGTTTGTTTGAAAAAGATACCTTCAATTCCTAGCTTTTGATTTATTTCTTTCAAAATAAGCTTTTCTTTTGATTAAAACTTCCAACATCGAATTTCCGGCTTAATTCAAGTTTTAAGCTTTCAATTCAAGTTTTCAATTCATTCAATTTCAATTCAAGTTTCAAATTCAACTTTTAAGCTTTCAATTCAATTCAAATTCAATTCAAATTCAATTCAAATTCAATTCAAAAACGAAATTTCTATCTTTTAAATTGATTCTCTTAGAAATGAAGTGCTTTCAGCTATCTTTCGTTAGAAAAAATCAAGTTTCAATTTAAGCGGACTCTTCTCAAAAATTCTTTCTTTAATTCTCAAAAACTTGAATTTTTTTGGAATCTAACAATTTTGACTTTTGAATTTTGAATTTTGACTTTTGAATTTTGATATTTAATTTGTCTTTTCTTCTTCTATTAATAAATCTCTTGAATTTCACCATTCGTTTTTCCTTTCACTTTTTCATTAGCTCTCTAATGCGCTCGTCAGCTCGCCGTGTGAATTTCACTCGTTTTTTCGAGGGAGAACCTGAAGAGGTGAATTGTTCAGTCATTTGTAGATTTGATTTTACAAAAGCAAAAACTTTTTGAATGTTTAAACTGTATTTTTTTTCAAATTTAAGCTCGATAAAGGAAACTTTACAGAATAAAGGGAAACTTTTAAGAAAATTAGATAGCTTTTGATTTCTTGCAGAAAGCAAAACCATTAATCAACTCGGGAAAGTTTTTAACTTCCAGAACTTGAAACTTTAGTTTGTTTTATACCTTTAGTTAAAAGTTTTATGCCTAAAAAAATCCTGAAAATCGAAAATCTTAAAAAATCGAACATCAATAGCATTACGATTTCATTATACCGTATTTTCTCTAATTTTAGTGCACCCTTAGCGTCGCCTAAATTGCTCGAAATCTCGAGAACCGCTTATCAGAACCTATCGATGTGGGATCGGAAAATGTAGCTGATGATGAGATCTTGCCGGGGATTTGAGTGTTGAGCTTCTGGGAAAACTTAGAAACTGTAAAATGGTCATCAACTCGGTGCACTACTATTAGGGGAAATACGGTAAATCTTTATCGTTTACCTTTTTTCATTTTTTAAACGATTCTTTCTCATAAAAACAACTCCATAAAATAAACAATAAAATTACTACGGTTTTGAACTTATAGACGGCTTTTAACGGCTTACGACTAATAGACGGTTTTTAAAGGCTTTTAACGACTAATAGACGGCTTTTAACGGCTTTTAACGACTAATAAACGGCTTTTAACGGCTTTTAATGACTAATAAACGACTTTTAAAGGCTTTTAATGACTAATAGACGGCTTTTAACGGCTTACGACCAATCGACGGCTTTTAATCTAGCACATTTTCGACAATTTGTACAGTTTTCTTGCGCTGAATCTTTGTGTAAATCCTTTGGGATAATGATTCTAGATTTTCGAGATATTTAGCTTCAAAGTTTATAAAAAATCTCAACGAATTTCAAAATCTCCACGAATTTCGAGCAGCGTCATATGGACTTTACAGAGAGCTCAATAGATTAGCTCGTGGCCTAGTGAATGTGTGCTAGCTCTTAAATTCGGATCGCAACCGGTCAGGCTCAGGTTTGGATCAGCCATTGGTCCAACTTTTTTGCTTTTGTCGAACAAAAAGATCAATAAATTTCCATTTTTTTAATAAATTTTTTCCTTAAAAAAATAGAATCACATCAAGTCGTAAAAAGACGAAAATATTGGTAAAATCGGAGAAATTTAAACACAAATTTTATGGTTTCATGAAAACAACAAAGCCTAGAGAAGCGGAAAAGTGAAAAGATAAGATAAAGTAAAGATAAAGTCAAGATAAAGTAAAGAAAAGATTTTTCGAAAGAGTTAGAGAAAATAGAGAAAAATTGAAAGCTCTTGTTTCTCTTTTGGGGAGTGTTAAGCCTGGGAGGAGGGGTTTGTTTTTTTTTCTCAATTCTCCTCTCCGAAATCCCACCCTCAAAGTCCCCAAAAAGATCTCTTCCTAACCAGACTATTCCCGTTTTTTTGTTGTAAATCGCCAATCAAATCGATTCAAATCCATTCAAAACCATTCAAAACCATTCAAATCCATTCAAATTCAATAAAATCCATTCAAAACCATTCAAAACCATTCAAAACCATTCAAATCCATTCAAATTCAATAAAATCCATTCAAAACCATTCAAAACCATTCAAATCCATTCAAATCTAATCAAATCCATTCAAAACCATTCAAATCCATTCAAATTCAATAAAATCCATTCAAATCCATTCAAATCCAATAAAATCCATTCAAATCCAATAAAATCCATTCAAAACCATTCAAATCCATTCAAATCTAATCAAATCCATTCAAAACCATTCAAAACCATTCAAATCCATTCAAATCCAATAAAATCCATTCAAATCCAATAAAATCCATTCAAAACCAAATCCCTTTCATCAAAACATTTCCAATTTCTTTTATTCAATCATTCTTGGCTATTTCTTCTTAAAATCTTTAGCTTATTGCCAATTTTAATCAAAGAAACAATTTCGCCACTGTTCGACTTCAAAATCTCAGTTTAAACTCAAATTTGAAACATCATTTTTTCAAATCAAAATTTGAAACATCCCCAAATTTGAAACATCATTTTTCCCATTTTGAATATTTCTTTTAAAAATCACTTATAGCTACCTTACAACTCTAGATTTCTTCAACTAATCAACTAATTCAATTGGCTTCAACAGCTAAAGCTTTTAAAAGGCTAAATCTAAAGCTAAATCTAAAGCTTTCCATTCCATTTCCATTGATTTTATTACTTTTTCAATATGGGTAACGCGGTCGCATATCGACACTCGGTTGCTGTGAGTTCTAAAAGAGAAATTTATCTAAATTTATCAAAAACTTTGTTTATTTCATTGATAATTGCGATATTTAGATGAAAATTGAGTATTAAATTGGAAATTGAGCATTCTTTAACTTTTTAAGCATTAAAAGTAAATGCTTTAAGTAGATTCTTTAAAAAAATCGAGGAATATAAGAGAAATCTTTGTGCTGAACGATTCTTTGTTCAGCAATTGAGCGTTTGGAATAAGAAAAAGAAAGGAAATCTTCTAGAAATGAGTTAAATCTCTTAAAATAAAGAATACAAAGTCTCTTTTTTCAAACTAATCCCTTTTTAAAGACATTTCAGAAGCAACAAACGAGAAAGAAATTGGAGAATTGTCGAAAACAACGGGAAAGGACTGGAGGCATCGCATTCAATAATAATATTCATGGAGATGATGGAAGAAAACGCGAAATAAGTGGTTTGTTGTTTTTAAGTTCAAATCTTCGAGATTTAGACTCAAAATTTTTGATCTTAAATCTTAGACAGACACCGCCGCTTGGATTTAATAGATGATAGATTGATAGGTAGATGCTCACGGCTTGAATAGATGATAGATTTAATAGAATGTTTCAATGGAACGTTTCAATAGAACATTCTATTTCATTTAATAGAATGTTTCAATAGAACATTCTATTTAATAGAATGTTTCAAAATTGTAAAGACCAGGAAATCTATCCCTCTTTTTCGAGATTTATTCAAAGTTAGTCCCACGGTTAGTTCAAGGAGTTCAAGGTTAGTTCTTTCGTTAGAAATTCTTAGTTTCAGAAATTCCAGTCACCTCCAATAAGTTTTTGTATAGCTCTTTTCCAATAAGAACTGCCAGAATTTGGAATCGTCTTCCCAGAGTTTTGAGAGAGTCCAATAGTCTTGAAAGCTTTAAATTATCTGTAGATGATCTTGATCTTGAAGCTCTAGTGGATCCTTGACGTATCCTAGCCACAAGGTACGCACAAAGTATAGTAGGTAGTAGGCTACTAGGTACTGATCTTGATCTTGAAGCTCTAGTGGAGCCTTGACGTTATCTGTGCTACCCATATCTGTAGATGATCTTGAGCTATTACATACATTATAGCTTTTTATCGGTTTTTCGTGTTATGTGTATGAATTGATGTGTTTTAATCTTAAATCTAGCCCACTTTATCTCAGATCCTGAATAAAGTATCTATATATAGTGGTTTGAAATTTAAGTTTTCAGATTTATCAAATAAAAAGATCAAGATCGAATTATCAATACCTTGTTAACCTTGCTTGGCAATATTGGCAATACTAGGTACTGATCTTGATCTTGAAGCTCTAGTGGAGCCTTGACGTCTATGATTATCTGATTAGCTTCTATTCGCCCCCCGAATAAAGTATATATATGTTGTGTTCGATTTAGATTTCCGTCCGATTTAGTTTCAATCTAAATCGGACGTCCGATTTAGATTGAACTTATCGCGGACGTCCGATTTAGATTACAGTCTATATCGGACGTCCGATACAGATCGAACAATAATAAACGTGCTTAATATATGTTCTTAAGCGTTTTTTTGCAATTTTCTGCGCTTTTCAAAGAAATTTTCAAAGAACATATGTTAAGCACGTTTATTATTGTTCGATCTGTATCGGACGTCCGATATAGACTGTAATCAATAAAAGACCTTTGAAAAATGCAGAAAACTACAGAAAACGCTTAAGAACATATATTAAGCATGTTTATATTATTGTTCAATCCATGTAAGATTTAGATTGAATCTAAATCGGACGTCCGATATAGACTGTAATCTAAATCGGACGTCCGCGATAAGTTCAATCTAAATCGGACGTCCGATTTAGATTCAATCTAAATCGGACGGAAATCTAAATCGGACACAACATATATATGTCGTAGCCGTTTACGAAATTCAGCCGCTAACGATTTGCGATTTGAGCGAAGCTAGATAGGCTGATTTGTGTCTTGCATAAATAGTTTGAAATCAAAAACCCATTTGAATCGAGCCATGTTCGCAGAAGCCGATTGCAAATTGTGCACGGCTAGCGAAAAAATTGCATTCATTATCGGCTAACGAATGATTCGTAAACGGCTAGCCGCCAACGAGCCATTCGTTAACGGCTGAATTTCGTAAACAGCCACGACATATATAAGCCTTTCGAATTGAATGGCTTTTTTGCTTAAAACATTTACTTTATAGCTAAAGCTATAGCTTTATAGCTCTTTATTCGCCTTTTCACCAAAAATAACTTACTTGTTCACTAAGAAAAAGCCAAGAAATCATTATAAACTATCAAAAACTATCAAAAACTATCAAAACTATCAAAATTTGAATCGAAAGCCCTTCAAAATCTCAAAATTTAACTTAAAAATGTATTAAATAGTATTAATTTCTCTTTTTTATTTTATCTTTTCAAATCCTCATCACTTTTTCTCTTTTTTCACTTTTTCATGATGACTTTTTGTCCTCAATTTGCTCGCAACAACTGACTCTCTTCCTATTTACTTATTTTTGTGAAAAATTGCTTTAAAATCTCGTTTATCTTTGAGGAATTTGATCGTTAATCATTGAGATTTGAAAGAATTTCAAATTTAACTGAAGAAAAATTTTTAAGTTTCAAAGAAAACAGCTTGAAGTTAGGATTATGGAGTGCAGTTCCTTCTATTCGAAGATTGAAAAAAACAATTCATTTGTACACATTTCTACACCGTTTTCAGCGCACTCAATTTCTGATTTATTGTAGAAGAAATTGATGCGCTAGAGCCAGAATATTCTTCAAGTACACTTACCACGCTTTTGAACTGATAGACGGATTTTAAAGGCTTTTAATGACTAGTAGACGGTTTTTAAAGGCTTTTAATGGCTAATAGACAGCTTTTAAAGGCTTTTAATAACTAATAGATGGCTTTTAACGGCTTTCAACGGCTTTTAACGGCTTTTAATGATTAATAGACGGCTTTTAACGGTTTTTAACGGCTTTTAACGACTAATAGACGGCTTTTAAAGGCTTTTAATGACTAATAGATGGCTTTTAATCTAGCACATTTTCTACAGTTTGTACAGTTTTAATATAGTTATAACAATTAAAATAAAAAGAAAAATCAAAATTGAATGGCAGTACCGGGAGTCGAACCTGGATCATTTGAGCCGTAGACAAACGCGCTTCTCGCTGCCCGATGATGACAAAAAGCGGTTAGTCTTTCTGGACATTCTATAAATAGTAACGAGACAATCTTGTTTTTCAACTTTCCGCTAAAACTCTTTGAAAGCTTTCTCTCACGCCTTCTTTCGGAAATTCGAACTTTCACTAAAGAAAAAGAAAGACGAACGAAAAAGAAAGTCGAATCTCCAAAACAATCCAATTTTTCACCCCCGAAGCGCTTTTGAAATGAAAATAGAAGGAAGAAATCAATTGAATTGAAAAATATAATATATTAGAATTTAAAATCAATTAAAAATTGATTTAAAGTAAAAAAAAATCAGGATCTTCTTAAACTTCTCCATCTTTTTTGAACTTCAAAAAATTTGAAACTTAAGTTTTTTTTTCTTTCAAAACTTTTGCTAAATCTTATCCAATTCATTTTTATCTTTTTCTAAACTAAAATACAACTAGTTTTTTGAATATAAATAACTTTTAGTATTGTAGAAAAAGTGTAGCTTTAGATCTAGAAGTTAAAAATTCGACGTTAAAAAATTCGACGAACTAACACTGCTGTCCTTTCTTGGGCCTTGACAAACTTGAAACTAAGCTCTTTTTTCTCTAATAACTTCTCAAGACTTCTCTTCTCCGCTTCTCTGAAGCAGTTATACGGGTTGTTCTGCTGCTAGATCAGAAACAGCTTTTGTTTTTATTGTGAAAAAGTGAAGAAGTCGATCTCTTACTAAACTCTTTGATCTTTTCCATACTTTAACAAATTTGAAACTTAACCTTTTTTTCTTTCAAAACTTTTGCTAAATCTTATCCTAAACTAAAATACAACTAGTTTTTTTGAATATAAATAACTTTTAGTATTGTAGAAAAAGTGTAGCTTTAGATCTAGAAGTTAAAAATTCGACGTTAAAAGTTTGACGAACTAACACTGCTGTCCTTTCTTGGGCCTTGACAAACTTGAAACTAAGCTCCTTTTCTCTCTATTAACTTCTCAAAACTTCTCTTCTTCGCTTTCCTGAACTCAAATTTCATAAAATTATATAAAATTTCGTAAATCTACTAAAGCTTTTTGTTTAAAAGAACGGAAAACGATCAGAAATCATCGAAATCTTCTCCTTTTTCTCAATTCCCAAGAGATTTCCCATTGTTAAGCCGTTTTTATTGTCGAAAAAGTTAGATTCTCTAAAAAAGTAAAAAAAGAGAATCAAAATCAAATTCAAATCCAAATCCAAATTTTCCTTTTCAATACCGTAACTTGTTCGCTTTTTTGCCTATTCTAAATTGAGACTCGGGAAATGAAATTGAGCCGTCAATTCAATGGGAAAAAAAGCCTGATTGAGCTGCTTGAAGAAGAAGAAAAGGTCAAAATTTGAAAGATTTTGAAAAGATTTGAACAAGGCTCTTTAAATCATCTTTAAACCATCTTTAAAACATTTTAAAAGCATCTTTAAATCATTTAAAATCATTTTTAAATAAAAATGAACTTGGAAATTGGCTGAAATTGATCGAAATTGAGATTAAACAACGATTAAACTCGAGTTTTAAAGTCAATGTTTCAAGATAAGCAGCAAAAAAAGCTCTGGATCAGACCAGATCCGGAAAATATCAGATCAGATCAGATCCGGACGGGAAAATGCATGGAAATTGATTGAAATTAGCTGAAATTAGGTGAAATTGATTGGAAATTGATGGAAATTGATGGAAATTGATTGAGTTTGATTGAAATTGATGGAAATTAGCTAAAATTCATGGAAATTAGCTGAAATTCATGGAAATTAGCTGAAATTGATCGAAATTGAGTTTAAACAACGATTAAACTCGAGTTTTAAAGTCAATGTTTCAAGATAAATCTAAAGAACCTCTAGAATGGGGGTTTAATTATCGTGTAGCATCAAAGTAAAAACAAATCAACTAATCAAATAGAATAGGGTGTTTTAATAGCAAATATTTAATAGGAAAAATAGCAGAAACTAGACTTCGGCAAACAAAACCAAAACCAAAACAGACCAAAACCAAAACCAAAGCACCAAAACAAACCAAAGCTCAATTTGCATATAAATTAAAATGTAAATTTAAAATTGTAAAATGCAAATTTTAATGTAAAACGCAAATTTTAATGTAAAACGCAAATTAGCCTTTCACTTTTTCTCACTCCACAAAATCTCGCGGCCGAAAAAAGGACCAAAACACGACCTCGAAATTTCGAAACAAAAAATAGCCTATGGGATAGATTTTTGGATGCTGATTTCAAATCTGCAAACAGATTTTCGCTAGCTCCTCCCAGTCGCGAGATATTGGCGAGTTTTGGTTAGTTTTGGTTAGTTTTCGTTTTCGTTTGTTTTGGTTTTGGTTTCGTTATGGTTTTGGTTTTGGTAGTTTTGGTTTTGGTTAAGTTTTGTTTTCCGAAGTCTAGCAGAAACTTTAGAAAGCCATGCAGGAACGTCAGCCGATTCATATGTGCGGATATCGATCGGTGGGAAATCGTATTGTGTGAGGTGAGGTGAAATCGAAACAATAAAACGTTAAGAAGTATAGTAGCGCTTATAGTAGAGCTTATAGAGCTTATAGTAGAGCTCAAAAACATTTATGCATCATTTTTTAGGGTTTAGGAACCATGTAAAGCTCAAGTAATCATTTTCAAACTTTGTAGATAAGTTAAACTAGTGTAATGTTCAAAAAAAAGAAGGTTCTCAACTCACTAGCAAGCATTTTCCGAGAAAACATTAAAATGCACTAAATACGGTAATTCCAGTCGCGCACTAAATCGGCCTTTTTAAGTAATCGGCCTTTTTACGCAAAAATCGGGGTAGGCTAGTTTGCGCCAATTTTTTTGCGCAGCTGGGTCATTTGCGCAGCTGGGTCATTTGCGCAGCTGGGTCATTTGTGCAGCTGGGTCATTTGCGCAGCTGGGTCATTTGTGCAGCTGGGTCATTTGCGCAGCTGGGTCATTTGCGAAACTCGCCATAACTTTGTCCTAAGTGGACCAATCTTTATGATTTTGGTTTCATTTTGTTGCACTTATTGAGATCTACTAGTTTTACAAGAAAGTTTCGGTTCACAAAGCCAAGAAAGTTCAAGATTTTTGCAAGTGAAGTTTCCCTATTTTGGGGGTGGCTACTTTGCACCAAATTTTTTGCGCAACTGGATCATTTGTGCAACTCCATAACTTTCTTCTAAGTTAGTCAATCTTTATCTTTTTGGTTTCATTTTGTAGATCTCAAAAAGTGCAACAAAATGAGACTAAACTAAACTGGGTCATTTGCGCAACTGGGTCGTTAGGGTTAAGCGCAACTGGATTGTTTGGGTTAAGCGCAACTGGGTCATTTGCGCAGCTGGGTCATTTGCTCATCTGGGTCATTTGCTCAGCTGAGTCATTTGCGAAACTCGCCATAACTTTGTCCTAAGTCAGCCAATCTTTATCATTTTGGATTCATTTTGTTGCACTTATTGAAATCTACTAGTTTTACAAGAAACTATTATTCAATAGCGCTCAAAATGCCTCCTTTTTTGTTATTCAAACATTAGATAAACTTTTTACATCACTTTTTACATCAGATTTACATTTTTACATAATTTTTAAATAAAGAAACTATAAAACTCTGAATTCCCATTTAAAAAAAGCTTTATTTAAACATTTATATCATTTAGAATATTTTAGAACCGAACTTTTCACTCCAGATGAGACGCGAATGCATCGTTTTGTCGGCAGTTCGCACGAAGATCGATTAAAGGTTTCAATTCTTTAAGAAATTCAGAAAATTCAGAAACATTTCTTCAATCTAACTCTAAATTGAAACGAAATAAACCTTTTAATTCAATCTTTCAATCCAATCTTTCATTTCTTTTGCTTTAAAATTTAAATCTTACATGATTTTTAATGCTAATTAAAAGAAAGAGACAAAGAATTAAAAAAAGCTCATTTATTCTTTTAAAAATTTGTAACCAGAGGCATACTGGGATCGAGAATCTGAATTCGTTATTATTTTT